TATCAGTATCAAAAAATTGTGCTCCTATAAAAACAGTAAATATAAACTACATTTTGTATTTTGCTATTCAGGTGTCCTCAACAAATATAAGTTTATTTTCTTAAAACAAACCAAGTATAAAAATATGGTAGGAAAAATCTAAACAAAAAGTTAGTGGACTAATAGTGGAAGCTGGGGAAAGTTTGTACGCAATTCCCAAGTAAACCAACTGCCTCGGTCCCACATACTTAACTTTGCCAAAAACATTCCCTATATACTTAGATTTCTGATTGATATTGTTACAGTTTGGTTATCAAATTTGGAATTTATGGACAGGCATTTAAAAACTTGGAAAATAGCATTGTAACACATGGCTTTAAAAGATATTGAAGGTTTCAGCTTAGAGTAAAAAAATGTTCGAAAGAGGGAAAACATATACCTGGAATATTCTTTACCTTAATTATTACCTCTCATTACAAATGTAAGAATTTAGAAATGTGAAATGAAAAAACAAATAACTTGGTTATCAATCTTTCAGAGGTTTGGTTTATGTTATATTATATTCACCCCCGTAATATGAATTGAAATTTTCTTGTTCCCATATTTCATCCACTTACAATTGAATATAATTTTGGCAGTTTCATTTTATAAACTTTATGTTATCAAATGATGGACAGGTTTCTTCATCACTATTGTTTATTTTAATTTTATAATAAGAATATGAAGCCATTTAACTTTTCCTCTATTGTTTTTAAAAATTAAAAACCAGGTTTAGATATTTTAATTTTTTCCTTTCCCTTTACTTTTTTACAATTATTTTAATTTTTAACTTTACTCGGGGTTTCCACTTTTTTTCCCAAAATTTATCCCTTTTTAAATTTACAAGTTTTCTATTTTTTAGTTTGTTTTAAAATTCACAAGTACTGCATTAATAAAAAAAATGAAATTTTTCCAAACTTTTAAAAATTTTACAAAAAAATCCCAAAAAGGGGTACAAAGGGTTCCAAAATTTTCAGCCGGGCCCACATTTTTAAAAAACAAAAAAGTTTTTTTTAAAATCTCATATTTTAACTATTTTTTTCCCCATTTTTTTTCTTTTTTTTTCCCTTTTTTCATTTTAAACCGAAAGTATAATTGAAAATTTTTTATTTTTTAAAATGTGGGGGGGAATGGGTTTATTTTTTTTAAGTTTCAGGGCAAAACAGTTAAACTTTTAAAAAGTTTAAAGGGGGCATTTCGGGTTTGTTTGTTTGAAAAAAACCCAAACCCCTTTCCTTTTGGGAAAGGGTTTGGGCTTCTTTTTTAAACCTTTTAAATTTAAATTTTAAAAAACACAAATTTATTTTTTTCCAATTTTTTTAAAAAGCTGACTTTACCCAAAATTGGGGGGGGATCAAGATGAAAATTTTGATTTTGGTTTACCCAAACCCCATTGCGCTTGACCCTTTTCCCGGGGCTGGCCTGGCTTCTAAATTTTGGTTAAAAAGGGGGGTTTAATTTTCAGTTCCAGCAAGATGAAACCCATTTTAAAAATTGGGAAAAAGTTTTTTTGATTGTTACAAAAAAACCGGTAAAAATTTAAAACGGGGTTTTGGCCCTTTTTTGTTTAATTATTTTTTCATTGTTTGAAAAACATTTCTTGCAGAATTTTTTTCATTTGGGGTTTAAAAAAAAAAGGTAAGTGTAAGGGCATTTGAGGAATTTTTTGTTTTTTTTTTAAATTTGGGGTTTTACCCCCACCCCCGGGCCCCGTAAAAGGTTTTCTTTATGTGACTTTCCCGGGCTTTATTGGTGGGGGAAAAACCTCTTTGGCAGTTTCCCCCTTCCCTTTGGGCCATTTTTTTCAGGGGTTTAAAACCACTCCCTTTGAGGGGAACCCCCGACTTTCCCGAAAAGAAAAGCTGGATTAAGTTTCCCTTTTACATGAAAAAACCCAAAAATTTCTTTCAGGTTTGGGGAACCCCCACATTTGGTGGGGGGCAATTTGTTTTAAAAGTCAATGACCAAAAAAACCTTTTGGGCCCACGGCCCCCCCGCATTTGCTGGAAAAAAAATTCGGTGTTTTCCTGTTCATTTTTTCAAAATTTGGAAAAATGGTTTTGGAACCCAAATTTTTCCCATACGATAACTGGCGGTTTCCCTAACTTTAAAATCACTGTAAACCCCTTTTCGAATTGTCCCAAAACCCCTTCTATGAAAAAAACATTTGGGCAAAAATTTTTCCCTTTTTTTGATTTTTACATATGAACTGACTTCTAAACAGATTTTGGGTTTCTTCTATGTTTTATTTCTCCGATTTTAACTTTACCAGAATTTTAGGATTTAAAAACAGACAATTTACACTTTTTTCTAACAAAAAAAATTATAAAAAAATTTTGTTTCCAGTCTGGGACGTATGTTCCAGTTTCCAGTAGGGAAAAGATACAAAGAAAAATGCTTTTTTAAAAATACCCAAAAGGGGAAAGGGGGTTTTTTTTATTTACCAAAAAAAAGGGTTTAGTTTCACTGATTCCCAGGGTTCCCAAAAGGAAAAAAAAATTTTCCAATTTTTTTAAATATCTGTTTATGTTACTATCTGCTACTAAAAACCTAGGGCGGGAATTTCCAAAAAAAAATTTTAGTGGGCTAATTTTTGGGGAAGCGGGGAAGTGAGAAAATTCATAGAAAACCCAAAAACCCCTCCGGTCCACATACAAAGGACTGACGGAATTTTATTTTATCCCAAATTATTTTTTACATATATTTCAAGTTGACAAGGTTTAAAGAATTGAAATTTTTCAGAAAAACAAAAACTTGTCTTTAAAACCCAAACTTTTTTTAAAATCTAAATTTCGCAAGGAAAAAAAGCTCTTTTTTTAAAAAATTTTAAAAAAGAATTTTTTTCCTTATTTTTACAAAATTCTCAATACTTTTTAGAAATAATTTTTTGGAGTGAAAAAAAACCGAAAATTCAGAAAATTAAATTGAGTTTTAAAATTTTTTAAAATTTCTATGTAAAAAACATGTTCAAAAATGTTCTAAATTAAGGGATCCATTTGATAAAATTTTCTATTTATATATATAGTTATACAACCAAGATAAAAACCCCTTAGTAAAGCTTTTCGGTTATTAAGATAATTGTGAACAAGGCCAAAAAAAAAACAATTATTTGGAAGGTTCTGACTTGATTACCAAGAGATAATCCCCAGTTGTATCCCCAGTCTGCATTGTTAAATGATAAAATTCCTATAAAAATATAAACAATTGCTTTGAGCAGGAAGGTAAAAAAAGGCGCCAGCACAATTTCCCCAATTATCCTCAGCATTGTTCATAATGATAGGGAGACGAGGTTAAAATAATGACCACAGTATAAAATGTTTAAAAATATGGTACTAAAGTTGAACAAACATTTTATTTTAAATGTTTATCAGATTACAAACTATTCATTTTCTGACCTGCAAAATTAAAAACAAATATCTATTAAATTTTATATACATAATACATCCAAGTTATCAGGGAAAAATTGAGAAGTCTATTTGACAAATCAGTTCAGAGGCATCAGAGGAAATAAAAACATTAAAGGATTTTAAAACAATATAGAAGTTTTGAAACACACAGGTTTAAATAAATAACCAGGAATCTATAAACAAAATGCACCCGGAGTTTATAAAAAATTTAGGAGTTTTAAAATATTCAGGAAGTGAGAAAGAAGACAAGTTTGGAAGAAAAACCTGAAAGTTAAGAAATGTTAATGGTGTTTAGAATCAACATAAGAACAGAACATTTACAAATGAGTTTAGAAACACCATATAGGAATTGTACATTTACAAAGTTGTTAGAATCAAAACAACATGAAACGAAACATTAAGGATGTTTAGGGAAACAAACATGGGAATAGAAACATTTACAAAGGTGCTTTAGAAAAAAACAGGGAATAGAACATTTACAAAAAGTTGTTTAGAAAAACAATGGGAAATAGAACATTTACAAAAAGGTGTATAGAACAAACACAGAAAATGGACTAAAGTGTATAGAAACAATTGGGATATTGAACCATTTAACTGACGAACAAAGCTCTCAGCTTCAAAATTTTTCAAAAAAGTGGAGCTTAAAAAACCACTTTTTCAAGGAGTTTAACGTAAAGTAATATTAAAAACTCTTACCTTAGCTTGGAAACATGTAATGGACTTTTCCACTCTTTAAAAATTTCGGTTACAGCCCATTGTTAGGGCTTAAGGGATTTCAGTGCCATAATAGAATACTAAATTTATGCAACAGTATAAACTGCACCAAATTTCTTTGTTACCAAACAGATTTAATTGCATAACAGTGGCCACTCACTGTTTACAAATATTGTAAGGCTACAATAGCAAACTTTCAAAACCTTTTGCCGATTATCAAATATTTTTAACAAGTTCAGTTTTAAAAGGACAAGCTGGCATAAATCATACTGATTATCATGATAAAAGCATCAAATATAAACAGACATATGTAAGAATATAGAACTGCAAATAAATGCCCAGAATTATGTTGCACTGACCATCAATATGGCTTTTGATATTCATGTATTACAGTGAGTGTTCCTACTGAAGGCTTGTCATATGATCATGATACTTGTATGGTTCTATTGTTTGTATGGCTATACAAATACTGTTTGTATGACTATACAAACAACAGATCCCAACCAAATAATTTCAGAAAACGAAATAGGTGAATTTTTTCAAGTGAGTAATTCAATGTAAGGACAAAGCTGTAACAATCAGCAAATTTAACAGTATGACACCAAATTTTTTTAAATTTACAAAATGGTAGGGAATCTTACATTCACTTTTTCGTTTATGGGATGTAAAAAAATAAAAAATTTTAAAGACCATCCTATGTTATGTGACAACAGTTGTCCTTGATAAAAAGCAAAGTATCACAAAACTGTTTCCATAAGTCAATGATCACCATCAATTGAAGACTAAATGATATTGGTTCATCTATACACAACATTTGAAATTTGCAAGCACAATAAATCTTTATAAAATGATGTAATTTACCTTGTTAACCACTGGATCATTTTTATCCACACATCTATCCAGAGATTCTGCCAGCTGTTTATTGGACGATGTTTCTATATTGAAGTTCCGAGACGATGCACAATTCCTTAAATTACTAAACTGCTCTTCTTTTGGTAATGGATGATGCCTCAACTAAAATATATATACATATATGATGAATTATCGTAACAATGAGCCCTACTCACAGCTAATAGTGTCATTTTATATTATATTGATAATAATCACAGAATATCTTCAATAGATTGGTAAAATAAGCAAACAACTTGAAAATAGGAATAAATAAATTGATATTGATATTTTTGAACATCCTTTTCTCCCTCATTTCCATTTTTTTTCTTTTCTTAGGAGCAAACTTGTTCCACCCTTGTGTCTTGATAATTTCCCATAATTCTTTGAAAAAAAAAAAATAAACAGATTCTATAAAATATGTTCATTTTTTTTTAAACCAACCAACCAAGAATTGTTGTTTTTTTTTAAAAAGCATTTTGTTTTCAGATTCATGAAAATTAAGATTTTTTTCTTATTTGTAAACATGTTGTCAAGTGATTTAACCAAGCCTAATTAAGGCACTTCCTATCCATCTACAGAAATTGCCTAAATCTTGACAAAATATGCATAAATTTCTCAAACTCAATTAGGTTAAATGGGTACAATTGGTCATAAAAATAGAAAATTTGATTGTATTTCATTTAAAGGTTACCTGGATTATTATAATTTTTAAATATAAAAAATATTTTTAGGTTTTATATTTTTTTGGAAACTTATTCCCCCTCTTGGGGCTCCCCTTTAAAACAAAAAAATTTTAAAGGGAAAATTACCAGGCTTTATAGGAAAAGGCTTTTATTTTCTTCTACCGTGGGTTGAAATATCTGCATTCTGCTATATATCGGGTACTCCCAAAAGCTGAAAAAAAAAACAACATAAAATAAAAAACCCTTTAGACCAAAGCAGGGTTTTACCTTTTCGTTTACATAAAAAAAATGAACCATAAGAAAAAATTTAAAAAGACAAATTATTGGGTCAAGGAAACATTAAAAAAACCCTCTGGCCAAATTTTTTAGTTTTTTTCAGACCCGTTAAATTTAGTTTATAAAAAATGAATGAATGTAAAAAATGTTTTTGTTTTTTATATTGGATGCCCCAGGTAAAGAATATAAGTTTCTTTTTACATCACAACATTAAAGCAACGCATCCTTACACCCCAACAAATATATCAAAGGATATTTTTAAAATAATACCATCCATTGATTCTTAACATAAGGCCAATATGTGTATTCATATGTGAAAACCTACGGGTTATCTTGTAATAAAAAATAGAGGTATCTGGTTATTAAATGATATTTTTTACAATATATATACATGCAGTTTTAAATCTGATGTCAGAAGATTCAGTCGACACTTTCTACCAACAATAAAACATTTACTTCTCAATAATTACCTCTTTAGGGTTCAAGTTTTCAATGCTCTTTGTTTCACTGAGTTGCACCTGAACCTCAACACTTTCTAGTTCAAGTGCACCGCTTTTTACCCGCCTTGCCTTCAGACCACGAGCTACTGCCATCAACATATCAATAGACTCACGAAGTTCTTGCAACCTTTAAAATAATGAGTGATATAAATAAATAATTCTCAAAAAAATGCAATAGTTTGTTTTGGAATCATTTAGTCTGATTACTTATAAAATTCATATGCATGAAACAACCTAGACTCTCTTTGTTACAAACTTGAGAAAGAACCAAAGTCTATGGCTGTATTATAAATTGTTTAAACTATGAAGTTAACTCCCTCCAGTGTTGGAGCAGTAATTCTAGACTTGCAGAAATCAAGATCACAAAGTAGAAAAATATCGCTTTTTTTGCCAATTCTTACATAATTTTATTTCATTTTTGTGCATTAAACGTGTGAGAGATAACTAAGACGTCTTAAAGTTACATTTTTGGTGTGATTTCAGCATTTTAATAATTCAAGGGTTTTGTTCTGATACTACTGGAATCTAGTATTTAGTGTGGTGCTCAGAAGCTTTTTCAGTCTCACTCTTAAACTATACCTCCTAAGTTACACATCAGTCAGATGTAACCCTTGTCCTTCGACCAACCTTTATCAAGTGCATGGGAAAGCTTAATAAATGAGTTCAGTTTTTATCTTCCATCTATCCCTTACATCCAGGTCAATGCTATTGTTTAATTTAGGCATCAATTTTTAAAGTGGGGGATATGCCTAACTGACTGTGTCAGGTTATTTCTTTACAATTTTTCATCTGGCAGTCTCGCCAAGTTGGAGCCTTTACATGTTCTTCGAAAAATCAACAGACAAAGTCCCACTTCTCTCCTAAGGATGGTGGGAGTGGCAGTTCTAGTAAACATCTGAGTTATGCATCATAGCCATAAGCCCATTCAAAGATGATTACCTGACTTCAAGCTCCTCTCCCCATAGATCATGTAACTCTGGGATATTTCTAACAACCTCAGCATCTATAATCCCATCATGCATTGCCTGAGCCAGCTGTAATTATTACAGGAAAGCGTTTATTTTGAGAAGCAACTTGGATTTGGTTAAAGTTGTACATCAGTAGACATTTTTGAATGAATTATGATTGTTAGACATATTTGCAATTATAATTTTAAGTTTTAATTTTCCTTTGGATGTAAAATTTAAATATTCATTATACCTTAAACAAAGATTAAACTCTCTGTTTTTTATTTACACCTAAACCACATAGTAGAACTTCTTTCATTCTGTATTAAGTCTGAGATTATTATGAATAATAGTCAATAGTGTTCCAACTGCAGTGTTTACAATCATGTTCTGTAAATTTTAAAATTTTTGTCCCAGAAGAAACTTTTGAAATTTAAAAAGGTTTAAAAGGCATACCCTTTTGGTGACCTTTTAAATTCCCAACGTCAATTATTGATTTTTAAGGGGTTTCAGCGTTTCTGGGTGGGGAGGAAAAACCCTTTTCATTAAAAACGGTAAGCAATCTGACGTCCCATTCAAAAATTTGGAAAAACCCTTTAAATACTACTTAAAAATGACAAGCCAATTTTTGGGATGAGATGTTAAAAACTTTTTTTTTGATTTTTAAAACCTATAATATGTTTAAAAGATATATTAGAATATTAAACCCGTTCCAAAAGCAAAACAAAAACGAGTTTCTGGTTTTAAAACAAAAAAAAGCGCATTAAAAATTTTAAAATAAAAGTTACCTATGAATAAATTTATTTGGGGATGTAAAATTTGTTTCCATACCGAACACCCCTCATAAAATGGATTTTAAAATCCCAATCACACTGATGCATAAATTTAAAAAAACCCAAATCAAAGGGGGCAAATTTAAAAATTGACAATCTATTTGACAAAAAATTCAATTTCCAAGGGCTTGATTTTTGTCTTTTTTGTTTCCAAATTTCCTAATTTTCTAAATTTTCAAAGCATGACTGTTAAATTTCATTGTGGAAATTTTCTGCATTTTCCCGAAACTAAAAAATTTAAACCTTTCTAAAAAATTTAAATTTTTTAAAAAGGGCGTTTTTGTTGTTCTTATTTTTCACCTCTTTCTGCACTTACCATACACATGCCTTTTTTTGTATCTAAAAAAAAATGTCTGTAAACATTTTTTATAGGGGATTATAATTTAAAAATTTCAAAGCTGTAAGATAGGCCATATCAAGAATATCTGGTTTCTAGTAACAATCCTACAGAATTGAACCATCACACCAGCATAACATGATCCTTTTGAACTATAACTTCTTTTACAAGTTATCAAAATTATGTAAACTATTTCATGGCAGAATACACACTACAAGTGCTTTAATGTATAATATTTTTTCATAATATGTTAAATGAAAGTAACTAATCTCTTGTATAATTTACCTATCAACTCCGCTGACCAGTGAACACAAATTAGCACTCAACACCCCAGGTAACATGTCATAACGTCTATCAGCAAGGTATACCGTAGTTGAACGACTTGAGCCTCGATATCAGTCAGAAAATTCGGAGGTACAAAATACGTCACATCAGCAAAATATGTACACCTAGCTCTAAAATTAAACCATTCTCCAGTCTCCTGAGAGAAATAGAAAATAAAACTTTACTTTTGGAATAAAATCCCATTATTATTTCAGTATTTTTTCAAAATTTTATTGCCTGAATGCATTTCTTTCTTTCATTTTTTCATCCAGTAAAATACTGTGCCGCAATTTTACTTCCCTATAAAAAGTAAAGTTTTTACAGTATGGGTTTCAAGCTCAAAGTGTGCTCACAGACTTTACAGCATTTCTCTTGCTCACTTGGCGCTAGAATCCATCTATGAATCTTTATTGGGTCCTGCACTATATTGATGGAGCCTGCTATGGCACCATGGAACAATACTGCATATATATTTACAACTGGGTAAAGTAAAGCAGTGTACAGTAAATTTCTTGCTCAAGGATATAAACAGAGTTCCTGCTCAGACTCAAAGGTAACTACCAACTTCAAACATTATCATTTGTTACATTTAGTAAGTGAGATATTGGATTAGTCCCCAGTTACCTTAGTCCAAAGACATAAACTTGTGAAAACCAAATAGACGTGACTTTCGGCATGCTAAGCAAATATAGGTGGACATTAATTGATCGCAACAGTGTCAAATAAGTCAAACATTGACCTACTTAACAGACAGTGTGTCATCAACATCCTCGCAACCTTTGGGGTCAATACTAAAGATGAGATGAGATTTGCGTAGATCTCGACGATCGTTTACCTCCGCCTCCAACATCTTCCACGGGTTCTGTGTAGTGTCTTTTGGTAACTCGTTCAACTGTGAATGAAAATAAAAATATTTTACACTTACTTTATAACAAAGGCAAACTTAAGATATAGAATATATCTTTATTATCAATTTATAACAAAGGTCTTTTTTAAAAAAGAAAACGAAGAGGCCAAATCATGCATCAATAAAATAATAATTTAAACTAAGGTTATCATCTTAAGTGAAATAACTCTTTATCACTTCCCATAATAATTTAATGAACTCACACACAATATTCTAACAAGGGGAGACCCCTTGAAAGCAATAAAAACAACAAAAAATTGCAGACATGGTTCGATTGAGTCTGTTCATCAGAGATCATAAAAAGTGCAACATCTCTCACCCCTACAAGCCATCAAATGTACTTGACTCAATGCTAAGACACTAAGGACAACTTTTTCAAACCTGCCAGAAAGAACATAATAACTGCTGTTGGTCATATAAAAATATCTGGAAATGGGAAATCCCTAACAAAAATACATGAAAATCGTGGACTTGGTTTGATTCTATTGCAACCATTGTCTACAGATATGACTGTTGTGTCAGAATTTATTACCAACCTGTGCCTCCGAGAATGGTGGAACACGTAAATCATTCTCCACCAGTATAGCGGCGACCTCTGCCTCAAGGTCACCAATCTTGCCCAAACTTCGTACAAAATGACCATTAGGGTACATAGACTCTACTTCCCAGTTGTCGATACGCACAATAATCCTGAAAATATAAATATATTTAATCATTATTCATTCACTTTGTTTCTATGTTCCAAACACATTTACATGAAACAACAAACTTTAATAACATCAATTAGCGGCTAATTAAGTTTAAAGTTGATAGGTCTACAATGGGCACATTTTCCATAACTATTTAAAATATTGACAAAAGAAATAAAATATATATCATTTGGATAATCAACAACATCCATATATTATTATTTTGTGCTTTGTCGCTATGTCCGATGCAAAATACTATCAACGTAACTATCTATTGTATTACAGACCTTTCATTACAGACCAGTTTACTTTAAATTTTCATAGCATTCACATTTGATCATTTAAAAGACCATTACTTAACAACCTTAATAAATCCTTTAATAGTTTAATGTTTCAAATATTAACCTTCAGGGACCAAAAAAAAGATTAGCCTTTGCACTCAAGAAGACCCAGTCCAGTCCAGTCTGACAAGACTTTATACAATCGACTGACTAGCTTTAAACTTTCACCTTAATATCCCCGAAAATTGATAACCATTCAAGAAATAGAAGCCTGACAAGACCATTTAAGAAATTTGGCAGGTTCAGGGTTAACCTACCTGTGATCTCTGAGGGCATCAACTTGTCGAGTGCTAATCCTAATCTTGGGTATTCTATAATCCCATGGTATAACCAAAACTTTCCCAGCTTTTTTATCTCCCCTGCCTGTCTCCTGTTAATTATACAAACACACAGATATCAAATGTAATCCTGTTTTCTACAGTAGACAAGTAGAGATATCTAAAATTCAATGTAATTTGATTTACACTTCATTATTCCAAGAGATCTTATAATCTCATTAAATATCAGTGCAATGTTGTGAGTATGCCCTTTCATGATTCTAATTTTTTATCAGTGCAACCTTAACAGATTCTACATTGTTATTTGCTGAACTTCTGTAATGTTTATACTAAAATCCCTTAAACTAGTAATAGTCAATTCTAAGTTCAAAGTATGAAAAAGTCCATTAAACAAATTGTGTGAGATTAGAGTCAAATGTTATGTTGCACAAACACAGTATAGGTCAAATGGTGACTTTCCAGCTTTACTGTTAGAAAAAGAGTTCTGTGCATTATTTCATGCATCAGGGGTACTGAGTAGAATCAATGTTCTGTAAGCTTTCTGGAAAGCTTTCTCACATGTAAGCATCCAATGTCACTGTTGAGATTCAAACCCACAGCAGTGAGGGGCAAGTCATTTGAAGTCAACCACCTTAACAACTCGGCCACAGACACCCCTGATATTGCCATAAAGTTAAAAAGCCCTGATCCAAATTTAAAGTAGCAGAGCAAATCCATTACTCAATTTAGGTAAGTTAATGGTTAAAGTTACTCTAGTATACCTCATCCTGGGAGAAACAGGCCACATATTCCCTCCAGTTTCTCTGTAGTACACCAACAACTTTCCCTGTTGGCATGGTATCTGATTTGTCTGACACTGGCGTCACTTTATCCCCATCTCCTTTCTCCTCTATACAAATAAGGAAACAGATTGACAGATGTTTAACAAAATGCATCTGCTATATAACTGTACAATTCATATGGGAATCATTTTTAAACTAATACCAGAGAAAACAACAAGACAAAAGTGTATAATTTTAGTTATATGGCATAAGACCCCAACATTTACACATATTTGTTTCAATTTCCATTCATAATCTTAAAAATATTTCTGACTGTTTAAGGACAAAGTTTACTTATCAGAATATCTTACAAATAACATGTACATATAATAATGAATTTAATCAATTCAAAACACTGGGTGACAAAAAAGTTTTCAAGGCTATACAAAATCATAGCTTACAATTTTGTGAATTCCCTTGAAACTCCATGTTAGACAGTTAAACACCAACACACAGTGCAGTGCACAACATGTGTTTATATTTTCTAACACAAACAATGCATAATTTTCTCTTGATCCCTTGTTAAAATCATAAAATTGTCATACAATCAAGCCTGTCTCAGACCAATTAAGAATGTCTGTAAGTGAAGTGAACCCTTAAGTGATATTCAGATTGGGTTATGCAGCCTGCTATACTGTTATTACTTTTTTGTTGAAGTTTACCTGTCTTTGAACTTTCCAAAAAGCAAAACTGGGAAAACAAAGCAGAAAATTTGACTCCCTATAGTGATCTCCATACATGTGCCACCATATTGTTTTGGTTATTAGCAATTATGTAAACGTTTATAAATAATTGTTTATGTGGAAGCCTTTATGACGAGTTTCAGCAGATTATTTGGCGAAGTTAAAAATGACTGCAAGCTTATATAACCAGAGCCTAGTGGCTTGGGTTATGTATAACAAACAGCTATTTATACACAGTTATATTACCTGTAAAAATTCTATTTGATACTGACAGTAGATAATAAATAGAAATTTCTGTTAAAGCAAGTAACAGACAAGTGCTCAAAATCATTGTTAAATCTACTGAAAATAATATTTCACTGATTTATTTTTGTTGGGTTTTAAGTCACACCATTATTGTTAAAGTTATATGGTGACTTTCAAGCTGGTGATCTCCTTTGTCCATTATTTAAGGCATGAGGTGGGCGAGAGGCATAAGAGTAGAACCACAGACTTTTCCTAAGTTAGCTTGAAATTAAGGTCAGTCATATGAAAGCATTCAAATACCCTGACTAGATTTAAACACACAACAATGAGAGACACATGATTTGAAGTCATTGATCTTAACCATTAAACCACGGTCGCCCACTGAAAAAAGGATCTTAATCATTCTTTGGCTGCAGGAACAGAAAAATTCCTTTGCAAAATATCAAATCTGTAATGAACTCAGCCATTTAACTTCGACATAAAACAAACATTATCAACAATTTATTAAAGTCATTACCTTTTGTAGGTTCAGATATGGCATTTGACCGACTCTGCCACTGAGATTTGGGTAAAATTTCCACGACAACAAGATCTCCATGAACTGCTCTGTTTCTAGCTGTCATACCAAAGATGAGAATATCCAAACCACTGTCATCTGTCAAATCTACCCTAGAAATACATATACCTTATATAACATAATTTTTTCTTTTACAGGTGACAGATAAGGCATATAACTGTCCTATGTTGTCAATTTTACAGTTCTTTATAGTGCCCAATAGGGGTGTTCTACCTTAAAAGAGTTTTACGTTGACTTACTTAGTCCTTTTAATGAAGGCCTCCTGTGAAGCGTTACTTTTGTTCACTTGCAAAAATCCTTGCTGATATTTGCCTGACTTGATACCTTTTGTTAGAATCTCCAAAGGCAGATAACCTACAAAATCTGTGTCTGAAACATAAAAATAGAAATATAAATTGCTGGATACATGAGGGATATTTCTTGCTGGGTACAGAAAGGATATTTGTTGCTGGATTCACAAAAGATATTTGTTGCTGGCTTCACAAAAGATATTTGTTGATGGATATACAAGGAATATTGGTTGTTGGAAACACAAATGATACTTATTTGTTTGGTTGTTAGATCAACATATATTCTAAAGCAAGTCTTTTTCCAACATTCTGGTAGTGCCACTGACACCAATGGAATTTGGGGGAGAAAAAAAATCATCCAAAAAAAGATCCACATTTAGAACTTTTAAATAACTAATAGAAACCAATGAACATTTAAAGAACAAAGCAACAGCTTCTAGTGATAACCTTTTTATGCATATTTTCTTGTATAAGTACTTTCAAGGGATTCCATGTTGAACGTAAAATCGCATATCAAAGTTCAACAAATTAGAAGATCTACTTGATTCCCTGTTGACTCACTTAAGTTCAGCACTACTCAAGTCCTACTGTATTTTAAGTTCTACATATACCAAATTTTACATATACATGTATATTAAACTGTTTAAGGTTGATTTTAAACAGAAATCAACCCAGTAAAAAGATTAAGTAGCAAACCTTTGCTTGTTTTGTTGGAGGAAACCTCTTGTAATGATGTGTATAGGGCAGTTATATCAGGGATAACCTCCAACCAAAATCCATCGAGATAATCCTTCAGTTTCACCACAAATAAATTTGGTGTCTTGTGTCCAAAATCATAAACAAACTGAAAACAAGAAAGAGGTTATGTCTACGTCATTTTAGTGGAAATTTATTTTAGAAGAAAATAAACAAGAAGGTTTTTTTTTTACTTTATCCAAGGTTTTATTAAAAAGTTTTCGTATTTTATATCTTACATTTAATGTAAACCATTACAAAGGGCCAGCGGGTCATAGTAGTATCAACTTGAGTGAAACTGACTTCAATGATAATCAAACAAGCAAATTCGTTGAATTTATATCCCCCGCCAAGTACTGGTTATTATTAACACAATAACGGAAGACATAAGGCTTTATTTATATATTAATCATGGCATAAACAGTAATATTCATTGAACTTGATAAATATTCAGGGCAATAACAGAGCCATAACTTCGTGTTAAATAGTAAAATCTGGAAATGCCAATGAGATGTATGCATACTACATAACTAATCAAGGGCCATAAATCTGAGTTATAAGTATCTGACCGGAACAAGGCGACTATATGCACATCTCCTCTTAGTATCCCATAAAGTTTCATTGAATTCCAGCCAGTAGTAGCAGAGAAGTAGCGAGGAAACAAATATTTTTCTATATGGATACTGCATAACTAATCAAGGGCCATAACTCTGAGTTAAAGTGTCTGACCGGAACAAGCCGACGATATGCACATCTCCTCTTGATATTGATGATTCCCATAAAGTTTCGTTGAATTCCAGCCAGTAGTTGCAGAGAACTACTCCGGAAACGATTTTTACTCTATATGCATACTACATAACTAATCAAGGGCCATAACTCTGAGTTAAAGGGTCGGACCGGAACAAGCCGAAGATATGCGCATCTCGTCTTGATATTGATGATTCCCATAAAGTTTCGTTGAATTCCAGCCAGTAGTTGCAGAGAACTACTCCGGAAACGAAATTCAGACGGACGGATGGATGGACGGACGACACCAAAACTATATCCCCCTCCCGATTCCATCGGCGGGGGATAATAAAGAGCTCAGGTCAGAGAAACATATCACCTATCAAATATAAATAATACTTCTAACAAGAAAATACAATCTAGGGGGGAAGGTGGGGAGGAGGAAGGGGGTTTTTTTAACAAAA